TACCTTCCATAGTAAGAAGGCTACCATCCATTGGAGTAACAAAAATCTCTACAACAGACTACCTTCCATAATGACAAGGCTACAATCCATTGGAGTAACAAAAATCTCGACAATAGACTTCCTTTCATAATGGCAAGGCTAACATCCATTGGAACAACAAAAATTTTGACAACAGACTACCTTCCATAATGAAAAGGCTATTATCCACTGGAGTAACAAAAATCTCAATAATAGACTACCTTCTATAATGACAAGGCTACCATTAATTGGAGTAACAAAAATCTCGACAACAGATTACCTTCCATAATGACAAGGCTACCATCCATTGGAGTAACAAAAATATCGACAACAGACTACCTTCCATAGTGACAAGGCTAACATGCATTGTATTAATAAAAATATGAACAACAGACTACCTTCCATAATGACAAGACTACCATTCATTGGAGTAAAAAAAATCACAACGACAGACTACCATCCATAATGAAAAGGCTACCATCTCTTGGAGTAACAAAAATCTCGACAACAAACTTCCTTCCATAATGACAAGGCTACCATCAATTGGAGTAACAAAAATATCGACAACAGACTACCTTCCATAATGACAAGGCTACCATCCATTGGAGTAACAAAAATCTCGAAAACAGACTACCTTCCAAAATGACTAGGCTACCATCCATTGTAGTAATAAAAATCTCGACAACAGACTACCTTCCATAGTAAGAAGGTTACCATCCATTGGAATAACAAAAATCTCTACAACAGACTACCTTCCATAATGACAAGGCTACAATCCATTGGAGTAACAAAAATATCGACAATAGACTACCTTTCATAAAGACAAGGCTACCATCCTTTGGAACAACAAAAATTTTGACAACAGACTACCTTCCATAATGAAAAGGCTACTATCCATTGGAGTAACAAAAATCTCGATAATAGTCTACCTTTCATAATGAAAAGGCTACCATCTATTGGAGTAACAAAAATCTCGACAACAGACTACCTTCCATTATGACAAGGCTACAATCAATTGGAGTAACATAAATATCGACAACAGACTACCTTCTATAATGACAAGGCTACCATCCATTGGAGTAACAAAAATCTCTAAAACAGACTACCTTCCATAATGACTAGGCTACCATCCATTGTAGTAACAAAAATCTCGACAACAGACTACCTTCAATAGTAAGAAGGCTACCATCCATTGGAGTAACAAAAATCTCTACAACAGACTACCTTCCATAATGACAAGCCTACAATCCATTGGAGTAACAAAAATCTCGACAATAGACTACCTTTCATAATGACAAGGCTAACATCCATTGGAACAACAAAAATTTTGACAACAGACTACCTTCCATAATGAAAAGGCTACTATCCATTGGAGTAACAAAAATCTCGATAATAGACTACCTTCTTTAATGACAAGGCTACCATCCATTGGAGTAACAAAAATCTCGACAACAGACTACCTTCCATAATGACAAGGCTACCATCCATTGGAGTAACAAAAATATCGACAACAGAGTACCTTCCATAGTGACAAGGCTAACATGCATTATAGTAACAAAAATATGAACAACAGACTACCTTCCATAATGACAAGACTACCATTCATTGGAGTAACAAAAATCACAACGACAGACTACCATCCATAATGAAAAGGCTACCATCTCTTGGAGTAACAAAAATCTCGACAACAAACTACCTTCCATAATGACAAGGCTACCATCCATTGGAGTAACAAAAATATCGACAACAGACTACCTTCCATAATGACAAGGCTACCATCCATTGGAGTAACAAAAATCTCGAAAACAGACTACCTTCCATAATGACTAGGCTACCATCCATTGTAGTAATAAAAATCTCGACAACAGACTACCTTCCATAGTAAGAAGGCTACCATCCATTGGAGTAACAAAAATATCTACAATAGACTACCTTCCATAATGACAAGGCTACAATCCATTGGAGTAACAAAAATATCCACAATAGACTACCTTTCATAAAGACAAGGCTACCATCCATTGGAACAACAAAAAATTTTACAACAAACTACCTTCCATAATGAAAAGGCTACTATCCATTGGAGTAACAAAAATATCGATAATAGACTACCTTCCATAATGACAAGGCTACCATCCATTGGAGTAACAAAAATCTCGACAACAAACTACCTTCCATAATGACAAGGCTACCATCCATTGGAGTAACAAAAATATCGACAACAGACTACCTTCCATAAAGACAAGGCTACCATCCATTGGAGTAACAAAAATCTCGAAAACAGACTACCTTCCATAATGACTAGGCTACCATCCATTGTAGTAACAAAAATCTCGACAATAGACTACTGTCCATAGTAAGAAGGATACCATCCATTGGAGTAACAAAAATCTCTACAACAGACTACC